GAAAGTGCAGAGCAGTTGCACTTTGTTGAATCCGTGGTGCGGACAATCTCGCTTGTAAGATTTGAATCTGTGCCATGTATCTTTAAATGATTCTCCAGGATCCTAAGTGAATGTGGCAATTTTCCTCCTCAATTCTTCAGCGCGTGAGTCATCAAAGAAGTTACGCAGGAATGCGTTTTTGATGTCGCTCCAGGTTGTGAGAGAACCTGGTGGTAGTTGGCGAACAGTTGTTGATGTCGATCGATGCGGAACGTAAGTCTCTGCGGATGCTACGTTCCAAACTGTGGGGGTCTTTTGAGTACACAAGTTGGGTGTTCTTGTTGCTTCTAGTACTGCTGGGCATGTACCTAAAAAAGACAAGAAAAAAAATTTGTGTCAGAAGATGATTAAGCAGTAACAAATAACCTAGACCTAATCAAATTAAATCTAATGGCGATCAAAGTTCCCCGGCATCGGCGCCAAATTTGATATCACTCAAATTACCCTAAGGAGTGAATTACTCTCTCAAATAAGAGGTTCAGTTGTAGTACTTAGGGATCGAATCCACAAGGAACTAAGGAACACAAAAGATATAATCCTTAGTGATTAGCTAGGTTGATTAAGTTAAGTAAATTGTAGTTGTGAGCAATGGTAAGTTGCTCAAGAAAATTCGTTTAGGTTTTAAACAATAAGAGAAAGTATTTAGATTCAAGGTTGCTATTCAAAAAATCAAGATTATAATGCTACAGGTGTCTTAATAAGTTGCTTGCAAGATATTAAAGAACTTCAACTCTTAGATAAGTCTATTAGCAATCGCTATCTAGACTTGTCCATTGATGTGACTGTCGGCAAGATCGACCGATGTTTTGACAGCGATATCGGACGATATAGGTTACCGTCGATCGATTACTCTATAGGAGTATCGATCGATATAGCTTCAGATCGAATTGAATATGTGTTCACCAAGATCATAGACCGGCTCTCGTTCGTCCCTAGAGGATCTCAGCTTATGCCAAATGATTTCAGGATAATGATTAACAAGTTAAATCATTCCAGGATCATACTCTAGTTAGCTACTCTGGAGTAAGCATTAGGGTTCATCAGGATAATGAATATCACAACTCAACAATCTATAGTTGGGGCTAATCCCTCATAACTATTTGAACCCCAAATCTAACAAGTGAATCTAATCAGACATGGCTAAGTGATTCATAGCATCAAGGCAATAATAGAAATTCATAAGATTAGAAGATTGAACACTTGGTTCCTTTGAACAACAAATCTCTTTGTATATTCTTCTAAATCTAGAACTCTATAACCTTTGATAAACATGAGAATAAGATGAAAATAATACTTTTATTAATGAAAGCAGTAAGAGTATTAAAAATCACAGTAAGAATCAAAAGCAAACCCAACCAAAACACATAGGCATAATTATAGGGTATGATTGGTAATGGCTGTAGCTTTAAAAATTTTGCTGTAGAAAAAAATCTGTAGATTTTTTGCTGTGGCTTTAGATTAAATTTCTGTAGATTTTTTGGAAAGCACTAAAAAATTGCTTTGGATATTTGACTCTGCAGAGCACTTGTATAGCTGTAGGTTATTTCAAGAGCTGTGGTTTCAAAAAAAAATTTAAAGCTTGATTGCTCTTAATTTAGTGCTGTAGAAATAATAAGAGCTGTGGACAGCACCTACAGCAACTACCACTCACCCCCATAAATATGAGTTCAATTAGGTTAAAAACTCGTCAGGGGCAATCTTGTAATATTGGGAGAACTTAGGCTTCAAGTCGGCTGAGTCAAAATTATTCTTCACGCTCGATATCGATCGATGGTACAAGGCGTACATCGATCGATGGAGTATCTCGATTCGTCATCTTCTACAGAAGCGTCGTCGATCGATTACACAGGATGTGTATCGATCGATATGTATCTCTGGATATCGACCTTGTTGTCTGATCTTCATAGTTATCTCGGGAAAACTCTCCTTTAAGATCCATAAAGGCACTTAAATCATCACTTTACTCCAAAATGCTCCTGAACCTGAAAACATACCTAATAGATTTCAACACACATATATATATATATTGTAAAATCATCTCAATACCATGGTTAAAAGTGGGTCAAAACCATGGTAGATCACCTACCTTATATCATATATTAAGAAATCATTTATTTTAAAAAAAAAATGCATTCGGTATATGGTTTTCAAAAATATTGTGGACAAACAAGTAAATAAATCTCTAAAGTATAAGGTAGAACATGAAAACTTATGTGATGTTGTAATAATTACCAAAAATATTAGAATTTTAATAGTTAGAAGAGACAATGACACGTACCAATTTGGCATGTTAATTGTTTTTCATATGAAAACCAAATAATTTTTTTAATAAAACATAGGTATACCAGTTTTGGAATTGTGCCATATTGAACATGGTCGTACTTTGGCTCTGAAAAAAAAAAAAAAAAAAAAACTTAACTGTATCAACTATAAAATATGATTATATAAGTTGTACCACTTATTTGCATGTCTATACTATGTTTAACATCTTCTGTTATTAAAAATAATGTAAAAATATGTTTGGTATATATTTTCTAATATAATGTTGCTAAGAAGATAAATCTACCTTAAAAGAATAAAGCAAAACATGTACACTTATGAAATGGTGTAATAATTGTAAATATATTTTGCAAAAATTCAAATAAATTAGGAGAAAATTTTCTGATCAAATATTAATTTCGATATTTCAATGTTTTCCATATGGAATACCAAATTGGGTTTCTCAATTTCCGAAATTTTAAAATTGTACTAATTGTACCAATAATAGGAGTCTAATATATAATGAAATTATACTAGTTGTTTATATGTTTAGCTTTAGGGGTTATACCAAGATTCTCACATCATAAATTTTGTATAAGTAAATCCAATGTTTGATTTTCATAATAATATGGCTAACAATGTATATATATATAATGTAAATTAAGAGTGTAATGTAATAATTTAATAAAAATTTGGAAAACCACAAATAAAATAGATGAAGCTTTGTCGCTGTAGACCAATAACAATATTTGTTGTCTTTTTCATATGAAAAACATGATTATTGGTTATGTATGTTATAGTAGTTGAATATTGCACATGAACTATACCATTTATATATTAGTTATACTAGTTTTTTTATCATCTAGATGTACCCGTTATATCAGTTATACCACTTATTAACATGTTTTGTTGTACGAATTATACTAGTTGTACCATCTGAATGAAAGAAAAATAAAAGGAAAATCGGGTGGTTCTGATTGAAGAAGTGAAATGATCATGTGGTTGAGGTTAAAGAGAAAGTGGGTCCTAATCATTAATTTTTTCGAAAGTTATATTTACTGACCCTGTATTTTGGTGTCATAAATAGCCAAATAAATTATGTAAGGTCCTTCCACATATACCAGAAAACATGATGTTACAATTTATCTCCACTCATAGAGCAAAACACCCTCGTTACGCACCAAGACAGGTCTCAAGACGCCTATCCTGTCAAAATCTAGATGTCTAACAAGATATGATACCACTTGTAAAGCCTTAGCCATGGGCAGTCGGCCTGTGGGCCCATTCCATGCGATAGGCGATGCATTAGTTTTTCTATGACTCGGAAGTCATGTTTACTGACCTTACATTATCACATGACCTTACTCACTGCTTTGGTGTCACTAACATAGTATCGTGAATCACTTCCCGATAGGTCACTCATCCTTTCACTACTCCAGAGTTAACTATTACACCTCAAGCACGCTTAGGGGATGGATCGAAGATGTAAAATTAGCCACTTCAGATGCTCAGCAGAAACAGTTTGCGAATTCTCTGTTCAGACACAAGCAGTATTGCAATTTATATTATTGTTATGTCGTAACCCATGTCCTCTCATTTAATGTAATTTGGATTCACTTTGGAACGAAACTTACCAAAGCTCCTATTAAGGTTGTTATGCATGTTAAAGTTACGCACATGTAACACTATTTTGTACCGCAAATTTTTATTGTGAACACTATTTTGTTATTGCGAAGCACACTAAGGTGGACGGTCTATATGTTTTTTGTTTAGGCTACAATACTATACTATTTTACCTATGGTACAATATATTTCACTTTGTTTTGGATTATTGTGCATACTATATCGTTCTTGTATTTAGTATAATGACCAGATGGATTAAACTATTTTCTTTACTTACTATTGCATAACTTCTCCGAAGATATAAACAAAGTTCTTACCCATTTTAACTGTCAGCCTTATGCATATATTGTTGTCCTCCCATTAATGTTCCCGTCTAACCATATCAGTCTTCCATCACAATCCCACCACATGTACTATGCAGCCGCGCCAAAAGTCTTATACTGGTATATGGCTTTTTAATTGGATATGTGTATGTACTATGCAGCAACTCCGTGTCAGACATGCAGTTCTATTATGTGTTTCTTATTTCGTCGAAAACCTTCGGGTTATGTCATTCAAATATATAACTATATTATATGATGTATAATATAGTAACGTTTCACACATAATACATATTCTTCCTCACATGTATATAGTTTCCTATATAGTGACCTCCAACAGTTTCACCATTCATAAGTTTACTAGTTAGACTATTTATTTGTCATTGCATTTGAATACACTTTCTCGCAACAGGCAAAAATCGTATGTGCTAGTTTCTTCTACAAAAGTATACCATTTTGGAAAATTAGCTATTTTATTGTTTTTCGACTATTCTATAGGATGTATAGTATTGTATGTATGAGCATGTTGGCGTCTCAGTTCATAAAATTATATGTGATATATGATACAGTTGGGACAGTCTATGTTATAGATTTGATAGAAAAGAAATAAGCACATGGTTTTTTATCTTCTATCGTCACCCGTGAACATATTATCCTCACATTCACGCGTCTTGAGGGAGAGAAAGGGGGAAAATGATGTCTAATTGTCACATCCGTCGCTAGAAACTGTAGCATGGACATATTCTTCATTATCCCTCTTATAAATATTCAGGAAAATCATCCTTAATGTAATACATGATGTTAAAAAAAGAAAGAAAAATTTAATATAATACATACATAAAAGATTTCTGCCTCACCGATAAATATTATTTCTAGAACAGCCACTGTATTACAAGAATCACTTCTTCTGGAAATTGAGTTTACCGATGAAGAATGCGAAAAGAGAAGCCAAGAGAATGGGGAAGGCAATGAGAACGATAGCTACAATAGCCAAAGAGTCAAATCTGAAACCAAAATAGTCTTCCACGAAATGTGAAACCTTCTTCTTCTCTCCAAATGCCATAACCTCATTCTCCATATCACCATACTGAGATGTGAGCAATCCATTCAAAACCCATGACGTAGGGCTCAAGTAGTACATCCAAATCCACCATTTCGGAATGCTCTGCGTATAAAAAGAAAAACTCTCATATGTTTGATTTATTACATAAATTTAGAGGTTTGACACTCTTTTATCTTTCTCTTGAGAAGAGGTACTTACAGGTTTTGGCATGACATAACCAGCGAAGAGGTTCACCATGGAGTAGAAGCCCGAACGGAGAGTAAAAGCAACGTGAATGTTTGGGGTCACAACGACTAAAAGCATGCCGAAATAATTGAAAATGAGCAACGAGCAGAAGACTGAGTAGAAGCTCCAGAACACTTTGTACACCGAGAAGTGATAGCCAACCATAGGATATAAAATTGCCACACATAAAATAGACTGGATTAATGAGTATGGAATTTCAACCAACACCTGCAAAAGTTAATCCTACAGCTCAATGCCAAGGCCATGTTTACTTTGTAGTCCTTGTATGGGTTGATAGAGAAAAATGTGTTAACCTGTGCAAGGGAGTACGCCCATGAGGTGTACATTTGAGCAAATCTTTCACGGTAGAACACATTTCTTTCGGTTGCAATGCAGAACAACACTGTAGAGCAATTGTTCATTCCAGAGAAAAGAATCACTGTGTACATTGATCCCAATACGTTGAAAAGATCTTGCTGAGTGTTTCTGCAAAGAAGAAAGGTAAATACAAAGTCTGAGAGAAAACAAACCTAATTAAGAAAGATGAGAGGCAGAGACTAACATTTTCTTAGCCTTTTGCCAGAACAAAACGCCACAGAGCACAGAGGTAAGACACATGAACATGATGCGAGTGAGATTGTAGGAAGGGTTTCTCCAATAAGAGAGTTGTTGTTTCCAGAGGCATGCCTTGAACTGTTCCCAACCAGTTTGAGCATATCGCGTCGAGGATGTTAGTTCTTCTGTTTCTGAAGATGTACCTCTCATTTGCTCTATTGCTATGTTGTTCTCCCTAAAACAAACAAAGGTAAGCAAGTTCCTTACAACAGCTTCAAGCCAACAACATCTATAGACTTACTTAAACAAAGAAGATTCCTTGTAGATTTGGGCCAAATCAACACCAAGTTTGTCTTCTGATGATCTAGAAGTAATGTCTAGAAGCCAAGTGGCTGGATTAGTGTTCTCTTTCATTTTCGGAACTCCAGGAATCCTCTGCAATTACGTTGTAAATAAAGAGAAAATCCATATTTTGTATGTCTGGTTCAGTTTTAGTATATCTTAAAAGAAACTTACCATAAAGTATTCAATAACATTGCTTGAATGTTGTCCAAGAGGTCCATGATAGATAATCTTTCCTCCATTTTTCATCAAAACCAGCTACACTTGAATGTCACATAATGTACTCTTAGAAAAGAGACTTTAAAATAGGATGGGTGATATTTTCAAGAGTGTTACCTCATCAAATGCTTCAAAGATATCAGTTCCCGGTTGGTGAATAGTGCAAACAACAGTTCTTCCAGTCTCTGTGATGTTCTTCACAGCTCTCATTACAATTGCAGCAGCTCTGGCATCTAGTCCTGTGGTTGGTTCATCCATAAATATGATTGAAGGGTTGGCAACAAGCTCCACAGCTATAGTTAGTCTCTTGCGTTGTTCTGTTGTTAAACCACTAACTCCAGGAAGTCCTACTATGGAATCCTTAATATCCTCCAACTCTATCGTCTCAAGAACTTCTCTGACTATTGCCTATAAGAAAAAAAATAATAATAATCAAGAAAATACTCAGACAAGTGAGAGCTAGAAGGATGTAATAATTTTTGTTTTCAAACAATAACTTACACCCTTTGTTTCAGAGTTGATGCTCGAAGGAAGTCGAAGCCAAGCAGAGTATTTCAAGGACTCTTCTATGGTTAAATTGGGAGAGTGAATATCAAATTGTTCGCAGTAACCTGAAACCCTTGCAAATGTTTCTTGAATCTTACGGTAACCACCTACTTGGATCTCTCCTTCAATGTCACCGCGGCTTTTCCTTCCAGAAAGAACATCCATCAGAGTTGTTTTACCAGCACCACTCACTCCCATTAGAGCAGTGAGAACGCCGGGCTTGAAGGCGCCTGTAACGTTAGAGAGAAGCTGCACCTTCTTGCCCTTTACCAGAAATAAGAGCCACCACACATTTTTAACTCTTTTTCTTTTGTTTAAAGGGTTCAAGAAGATTTTGATACTCAGTTTACCTGAGGAGTCTGGACGAAATAACGGACGTCTTGAAATGTGAATGTTAGGGGCTTGAAAGGTAAGGCATTTTTGGACTGGGAAGCAACTTTAGAGCTTGACTTATTATTGTTGCCTGAACTTTGAGTATTATCATCACCAGACACAATCGCACGAGACCTATTTGAGGCTAAAATTACAGGAAAAAAAAAAATCAATCGCATATGCTAACTTCTATCACTACATATTATATAAGAGGCATCTTGTGAACTTACTCTTTAGAAATGTCAAAGCCAGTACAAAAACAATATTGAAGAAGAATGTGAAGCCAATTAAAGCACCAAATGCTCTCCAGTAAGAGTTAGTACCAAAGTTCAGACCGCGAGCATCAAGAACTTGTTCCCCCAAAGTTATGTTTCCAGATGTTGTCTAATAAAAGGAAGATAGGATTTAATAATGTAAAACTTAGCTACAAAAAAAATGTTAAAAATGTTGTTATTTTAATTTTCATTACCTTACTCCACCGTGGAGCGAAAAATTCATTCGCCGTTAAACCTATCTCAGCATACGACAATGGAGACAACCAGAAACCCCACTGTAGCCAAGCAGACATGGAGGCTGAAATATAATAGAGCAACATTATAATGAATCCTCCAAAATATTCAGAGACTTATTATGAAACGTTAAGTTTCAAGTAACAACACTTACGTTTTCGAAGGACGAATCCTCCAAATAATGAGAGAAGCACTACAGAGAGTGTTCCAATTGTTGTGGCAAGAACAAAATCTCGAAAGGTGGCAGCTATAGCACGGAACATTGATATACATGAAAGGTGTAAAGCAAAGAAGATCAAGAACTGGCGAAAGAACCTGAAGAAAAGATAAACTGAATTAGCAGATATATTTCTTGAGTTGTAGAAACTTGTTGTGAATGTGTTACCTGCCAATATCAGGACTATAACCAATGACATAATATGTCAACGATGTCCAGAGAAGCGCTTCAAGGAATGAAATGGGTATCTTTAAAACAGCTGAGGGAACTGCATATGCCCAAGCAGGATAAAAGTATAGCTCTTTTTGCTTGCAGAACACTGAAAGCCTTGAGATTGTTAGTGTGAGTTCTGGAAGTCCATCAGCAAGAAGTTTAAAGATTGAAAAGAACAAAGAACCCATAAGATAGTTAGCATGGATAGCATCTCTTTTAGAACCAGTCCTTAGATAAACAGTCATTGTAATAGATCCAATGCAAATCAGCTGCATTAAAAGGTAAAAAGGGCTTAAGCATGTAATGGTAAAACAAGTATAGATTTTCTGGCAATGAAGACAAGAACTCACTAGTCCAGACTTGAATACATAAACGAAAGAGTTTCGTTTCATCAGAAGAAACTCTCTCCTTGAGCAAGCTTTTAACATCTCCCAGTTACTAAGTGAGTATTTTCTTGAGCATAAAGCATCTTTCTGAGCCTGAGACTTGTCATGTGTGTTGGAGAGTTCTTCTTGTTGTTGTAACCAAAGATCAGACTTTTTGAACCTCTCAATAAATGAATCAATGGAGACATAACAATATGGTTTGTCTATGTGACACCAATACTGTTCTTGATCTTTCATTGAGATAACCTCCTGAAGAAATTCAGCAACAGATTTTCTAGTTGGACATTTAAATCCACAATCCTCAAAGAATCTACAAATATAATCTCTCGGACCAACGTAGATTATCTTTCCTTCTCCCATAAGAATCACATCGTCAAAAAGCTCAAACGTTTCTGGTGCAGGCTGAAGCAGTGAAACCACTATGGTTCCTTCAGACAGAAGTGCAAAATGTTGGAGACAAGATACAATCTGGAACGTTGTTGAGCTGTCCAATCCGTTTGATATTTCATCCATGAACAGAGTTTTGATTGGACCTACAATCGTCTCACCTGCAGTAGATAACAGATACCAAAAATATGAAGTTTGTCTTGAAAGACATTAGAACCAATAATGTATGAATGCAAAAATTACCTGTAGTTAATCTTCTCTTTTGGCCACCGGATATTCCTGGTCTTGAAGTATCTCCAACCCGTGTATCTGCACAGAGACTGAGTCCTAGGATCTGATAATACAAAAACAGCTGCATTAATAACTTCTGATAAGAAGAGAAGCTAAAGATGAGAACACCTCTGAAAGTACCATACCTTTAGGATATAATCAGTTTGCAGATTAGTTTTTGAACCTTCAATTGAAGCTGCCTGTCATAATACAGATTTATGTTAGTTCTAATTGAAATTCTTATTATTTTCACATTAAAGCACTATATAATTTTACCTTCATGTATGCATCAATATCAGGATCCGGAACTATTCCTTTCAGTTTCTCCCTTCTACTAATCTCTTTCATAGTTTCTGTTATGGTCAAAAAAGTTCAATGCAACAAGAACTCAGCAAAAAAAAAAAAAAAATAGAAACAGAATAATAATTGTTTTTCTCACCTAAACGGCTTCCTGTGCCTTGAAAACATCCTGAAAAATCGAGTGTCTCTCTCACAGTAATCTCTGGAATGTGTAGATCATTTTGGCTTACATAATTTGATGTTTTTTCAGGAACAAACTCTGATAATGAATGACCGTTGTAACTAACTTCTCCACTAGTCTGTAAGGTGGAAGCAGCTCATATAATTTGTGAACGAAACAACTCATAAATTGTTTCATTTATTGAATTAACAAAAACAAACCTTCAAAGAAGGGTCTAGTCTTCCAGATAGTGCGAGTAGCAGAGTGGTTTTACCGCAGCTAGGAGGACCAAGCAACAAAGTCATTCTGGAAATAAACAAAAACAAAACGTTTCTGTCTTTTTGTAAGGAAAGCAAAGATTAATTAGGAATTGTTGTTTCAAGAATCTACCTTTTAGGCCTTACGGTACCACTGACACCACTCAAGATGCTTATGTTCTTTTCTTTCTTTAAACACATGAGTCTCTGTCACATAATCACCATTATGCACATAAGTATGAGATTAGGATGTCAACGTGGAAACTTAACAGTTGAATGAACACTTACAGATAGTCTGCTTGCAATAGCATTCCAAAGAGTTGGGATTGGTTTTCCATAAACTACCTCACACTCTGCTTCAACAAAAAGATCACTGAACCTCACTTCAATCGTCGGTAACTCGAGACCAACCCTACATTGAAATGATATTAGAGACCAATAAAATTTACATTTTCTAACATATAAACATGAATGTTATCTTTTGAGTCAAGGAATAAAACAAGAGAGATAAATCAGTCATAATCTTGAAACCTTGAAACATACTCATCGATTCTCTGCTTAATTTTCTGCACTAACTTGAGATTATCATTCTCAACATGTCTAATAAGATCATCAATAAATAGATGTCTATCAAGATCCTCAAGTTTAGAAACATCCATGACTCGTCTCTTGTTTCTCTTTCCTTGTTCATCTCTGTTCCAGAACAGAGCAGTAGTGATCCTTTCAAAAGTTGGTAATCTCTCAATAGCAGTCCATTGAGAGCGAACCTCCTCATCACCAACACTACCATTCTCATCTCCAGCTATATGAGGCTTTGTCATTATTGGAAAAAAAGATTCCCAAAAAAATTATACGTTATAGAAGAAAGTTATATAGAGAAATGATCACAAGCCAAGTGGGGGCTTCACGATGTGGATAGAAGATAGAGGTCTTAATGGAAAGCCCCACAAGCATGGATCAACTCTGAACAAAACAAGAAATTAAATGAATAGACAATTGGGTGAGCGTTGAAACTTTTTTAAACAAATGGTGTTTGTTAGCGTCAAACATTTGGACCAAAGCTTTTTTTTTTATTTGGACCGAAGCTTAAGAAACCAGAACACTAAGAGTCGCCTGTAAGGAATTTTCTTGATTTGAAAACAAGATTCCATTTTTGCGGCTGGGATCAAATCATGCAAAGAAGGTTCTTACCTATTACAGTGAAAGTAAGTACCTCTTCTGTGCACTTTTTGTCTGCTTCAAAGAAGATAGTTTACCCAGAATCAGGTTCGATTTGAAGAGCAGTTGAAAATTCAACTGCCAAATAACATGACAAGTGGAACATGACATGTCTGACACTAAATCATATTCAACCAACTATTTTGGGAGAAAACGATCTTCAAGGGTACTCCAAATTAAACTCCAAAAATAGGATAATATAAGAAAACTGTTGCTTCTCGCCAGAAAATATCTATGATATTGCCATGCCACACAGCCTGTCGAATCAGAGATGGAACCGTGTTAATAGGTTGACTACCTAAGAATAATATTACGGATCCTACGGGCTGCTTGATTCCCTAAAACGACGTGTGAGACGTATTATGGCATGAGAATAATAATTGTTTGATTTGCTAAACATGTAAGATATGATTGTGCTATATGTATGTATACCAAATAACAGAGCTTTTAGAAAAGAATACCTAGATATTCTATTCTATTCTATTATTTCAGAAATAAATTTGTTTAGTTGTTATGTTTTTCATAATTTTGTATGTTTACTTATTTGTCATATTTTATGATTTTGCTAATGGTAAATTATTACTCTTAATGAATATTAGATTTATTATATTTTAATAAACTATAAATTAAAAACGAAACATTATATAATTAACCTTATTTAAAAACAAATTTCATTGATTGGATAATTATTATTAGTACTAAAATAATAAATGTTATTTGAGAAGTAAATTTTCTTAGTTGTCATGTTCTTCATATTTTTAGGTAATTTTACGTTATCATATTTTTTTATGATTTTGATTAATAATTAATTATTACTTTTAATGAATAATTAAATTTATTAATATATAATTAAACTATAAATTTAAAATAAATTAATATTAGTTAAAAATTATTGATTGGATAATTATCATTAGTACTAAAAATAACAAAGTAACAAAATAACATATATATATATATATATATATATATATATATATATATATTTGAACTGGTTTATTACGAGTTGGTGAGGTAGGGGCTTGAAAAGTACTTGAATTGTCAAACTTTTCCTTAGCTTTACATAGGAGGTAAGTTTTTATGGGGTTCAGCATGTACATCAATGAACCCCAAGAGGGGTTCATCTTTGTAATATTTTATTTTATTTTTTTGTCAGATTTTTTTTTAAAAAAAAAAATTTAATTGAACCAGTTCCCTTCCGACACATGGTGAACTCCACCTTCTTGGGGTTCACCGGGATGAACTTTTGGAAAGAGAAGTTCATCACTGTTCATCTAGAAAACTGTGTGAACCCCCTTATAAACCCTCAATGTACATGCTCTATCACTCTCGAAGCGTTTCAGAGTGGAGAGTTGAAAGAAGTTGTTGAAAGAGCTATTTGCTCTTGAAGTTGATCAAAACTTTATTGGTTTCATTGATCTTATCTTTGTGTCCTGAACACAAGCCTTCTTTAATGTTTTAAAGATTTTATGGCTGATAAGATAAAGAGACATAGTGTATAATGAACTATGGCTATAGAACAATTATGTGTCTTAAGAATCTGTACTTTACTGTCTTTGAATCTCCTTATTGATTTACACTTTTATGTTGTTGAGGTGTTAATCTTACAAAGACCATTTTTTGAAGATTTCAGGCTATATCTTCACAATAACTCAATTTTAGTGCATGGCCTAGATAAACGGGATGGTCATCTCTGATTTAGTTGCAGGGCCTACAGTATTGTCCTAATTTCTGAACAACAAAAGGGGTGATCTCTATTCACTAGCTGCAAACAAAAAAATGAATAGAAGCCTGGTTTATCAAAACCAAATTAACATTCTTAGCTAGCAACATTTATCGATATCTCATTCAGAATTCTCCATGATGTTGCCTTCATTGGGGTTTTCAATAGGTTATATACACTCTACTGGATTTAGACTCCATTTAAAAAAAAAGGATCTCCAAGGTTCAAAAAGATATTTACAATAACAGTTGATGAATAATAAGATAATTTTATTATATTGAAAATTTTTGTCTTATGTAGGGATGTTCAATCAGGTATAATCAAACCATTTAAAATCGAACTGGATAGAGAAAATGGTTTGTTTGGTAATACCAATTATACTGAATGGATGTTTTGTTTAAGAAACCACGGTATATAAAGATGGTTTGGTATATAAACCGATTATATCATTTAAACCGAATAAATCGATTAACTAAAATATAGTAGTAGAATTATATGTAAATTATATGATATAATTGATAATATATACATAATTTATCTTATTGATATGTTCTTTATATTTAAAACGCTAACTTTAGTAGTTTATTAGTTTAATTTAAGTTCACAGTTATTTTATTAAATTAAATACACCATAAATTTAGAATATTGTGTAATATTTATTTATTTAATTATTTAATAATATTATCGCCTTACTACTTTTTCTTATTTTAAGTTTATAAAAATTATTATTATAAACTTAATATGTTTATTAATTATTTTAAATAGTATTATAAAGTATAAAAAATATTATGTTTAAAACTGAAATATCTTTATGTTTTAATAAAATTGATATCTAATCATATTAAGTAAAATTTACAAAATGTTACAAAATATAAATATATTTATGGTTTCTGGTTTAAAACTAGATAAACAAAAACAGATGGTATATAAACCGAACCAAACCAAAGTAGATATGGTTTTAATATGGTAGCTAATTTTTATAAACTAAAATACCAAAAAAGCTGAACCAAACCCGAACTGAAATCCAGATTGAATATCCCTAGTCGTATGTAAAAAATAAAATATTAAATTTAATACTAAATATTTCAAAAACATTAATGTTTTTAAATTTATGTTATGTGATAAAAAGTATTTATGTTATGATAAAAAATTGTATATATAAAGATTTTATTGTTTAATTTTTATTAAATATTTTGATATGAAAATTAATTTATTTTAATTTTATTTCAACTAATAATGTATTTACTTTAATATATTTGTAAAAAAAAGTATTATGTCCGCATGTGCGGACAAAACACCAAGTTAATAATGTTGATAAAGTTTGAAAAAGCATATTCCTTTTAGTCCATAACTTTGTAAAAATTCATTCAGAAAAGTTGAAATTCTCTTCTTCCCTCCAAATATTATTATCTCTTTTCGATATCTCTCTACTGCGAACGAAGTATGCCTTCCAAGGCCCATCATGTCGGGGTCATGTGGTACATTCATATCTGAAAAGTCTACAGCAGGTGAAATCAATAAACTACACAAAAATTTCAAGACCAACTATCTTTTTTATTAAGAATCACTTAAACAATCTTCACAAAGACTTGTATAATCCGAATTACACAACGCCACAAGAGGCTTGCCACGGACCAATTCTTAATCTACCCTTTGCGTGAACCAACCCCTGTTGATCACGTTTACAAATCACTCACTTTCTGAAACCCTAAAACCATGTTTATGTTTAAAGCTTAACCTAATCTTAAGTCTAAGCTTTCCTATATATCGCCACCAATTATTTTCAATTGTCCAATATATCTTTTCCTAAAAATCAGCATTACCAAATCTTACAATTTGTGATCTGAGGATCTTGTAGTTTGTGAATCACGTCCAAACCAGATCAGCCAATGAAAAATCTCCAAGTCACCACGCTTTAGTTCTTCATTTTACGTAGATGTGTTA